CTACACAGAATCAATATGTCTGAGCTAATAGCCCTGACTTGGTGAAGAACATCCATTCAGGATCTCATACAGAGCCAATATTAAATCATAATTTAGGAGGATTTTTAAAACCTTTTTTTAAAATACAAGTTTAACATTCACTTCTCAAATCTATCTCTACAGAAAGGTGAGTGGCAAGGTAGCTCAGCCAGTAAATTAGACTCAACAAATCTAAGTAGAGCAGGAGATACCACATAATTATGTTCTCTGCCACTGTGTGCCCCAAGGTCTATGCCAAATCAGGAGCCACTCATTCCTGTACCTTCATGGCCCTGCTGTGTGTCCCTCTGCCCCTACTGCTGTGCTGTTTCATAGCCACAGGCAATCACGTTTGTTGCAGACCACAAGCCAACACGAAGGGCCTTGTCTCTGAGAGCAGTCACCTACTTCCTCCTTTAAATGCTTCTCTTTAGTTTTTGCCTTTTCCAGACATGCTATTATACATTTTTCCTTGCACTAATTGTCCTAGTACTTCTAAAGTTATGCTGCAGGAAAAAAAGAAAATCCTCCCTTGAAGATTTAATTTTAATATCAAACACACTACGTTAGCAGCTAACTGTGGCATGGAAGATACACCAGCCCTGCTTGCAGGTGCCTTTCGCTGCCCTGCCAAACCCTTACCCACGCAGCTGCCATGCCCTCAATGTCCACACACTTAGCTCTCCTTCCAGGGAAATCCACAAGCGGCAAGGAGATAGTGAGCATCTGCATTGTGTCCCAGTGGTTAGGCGGAGTCGAAAGAGATAAAGACCCAGATTATTCGCATGTATAAAGTACTTAGGGGCCCAGATTTTACTTTAAGTGATTTCCCTTTGGATGCAAAGACCGGGATGAATCTCAGCCTTTGTTAACAACTAACTGCTCACCCATCCCTTCATTCTGGGCATCATGTGTAATAGCTTTTCCCTTCTTGTCTGTTCAACTGGTTCCAATTATTTGCTTTTTAAATGTGAGCTCTACAACTGTAAGATCCATCCCCATTCCTGC